GTCTTGATTGATCGTGGAGCCAATATCAAAGCACGCAGCAAAGATAAGAAATGGACACCCTTGCATTATGCAGCAGCATATGGGTGTACTGAGGCTGTGGAGTTGCTCCTCAGAGAAGGAGCAGACGTCACGGCCAAGAGCTCGTCAAGTGTTACTCCGTTGATGAGTGCAGCCGAAAACAGAAGGAACTCTGGGCCTCTCCGCTCGTTGATAGATCACGGCTCGAGTAACGAAGTGATTGAGAGCATAGGGGAAGAATTGCTAGCCTCAGCGGCACGGTATGGATGTGCCGAGTCTGTCAAGTTGCTGCTTAATCGGGGGGTTTTTATCGACTGTAAAGACGAAGATGGATGCACACCTCTAGCAAACGCGGCTGAGGAGGGCAACAAGAAGACAGCCGAAGCACTGATTAAACAAAAAGCCAAAGTAGACAGCAAGGATGCGAACGGACTGGCTGCCCTCTCTTTAGCGGCGCAGGCTGGGAACGTAAGCCTGGTCAAGTTGCTTGTAGAGGGTGGTGCTAGGATTGATCGGAAAGACGAGACGGATGGCCGCACTGCACTACATTGGGCCGTTCTAAAAGACCGAAAGGCTGTCATTGAGGAGCTCCTGGAGAGAGGGGCCAACATCGAGGCGAGTTCAAAGACTGGACACACTGCAATTTACTACGCCATCCGCAACGGCTTCGAGGCGTCTTTCAAGCTTCTCCTTGAGAAAGGCGCAAGTCTCACCGTGGAAGGCCCCCATGGGAAGACCCCCCTGGCGTATGCCCGGGATGTGGCTCAGAAGCATAAGAAGATTGGGAGTTCACCGGCAATGAAGGAAATCATCAAGTGTCTAGAGAAGCAAACCTCGGAAAAGGACAAAGCCAGAATTGTAGAGGCATGATTTGATATTAGTGAGAATAGATGATACAAATGAAAGATAGGCTCTTTCGAATTACTTGAATCTCGTTCACAACCACATGTCCATACAGCATCGAAGGTGGCCAGTGAACAATCGCCCTAGTGAGCTCTATTGACCTCGACCTAGACACGCTGTAAATATGTTAACTATTTCTACGGAAATTAAAGAACATCTAATTTCAATAGCTTTCGGCGAATAATGTAGGCTTATTCGTTAGGTCATTTTAGAGTGAGCTTTTGTAGCAAGATGCTACCAAAACCCCACAGCTTAGTGCTTTGTAAAAGAAGTTGGGAACTTGAAGGCAGTCCATTCAGAATGATGCGTGGAAATACCCAAAGTACCTGATAGATGGAGACGGAACTTATAAGTAAAGCGCAATTGCATAAACTTGAATACGGAGTAAAAGATGGGTCCTTAAGCTCTTCAGCTAATACATGTTACTCGTCATGCGTCTGTCACTTTGTTTCTGGATTTGTTGTAGCTTGAGATCTCGAATATCTGAAGTTGAATCCATGTCATGCTTGGTAGAACAGCATTGTTGTCGAAGCCAATCGGGAGCGTCTCATTTCCAACAAGTGGGGCGCCGATCTTTGAGCTACCCAAATTTCAATGCTCCATGCGACAGCTCCTAAAAGTTCACGGGCGACTTTTCTCCTTGACAACTTTGCGTTGCCACCAATCCACACCCAAAAGGCAATCATGTTGACAGCAGGTGGTCTCCGAAATGCCTGTCCCAGCTGTCGAGCTCGATTATTGAGCTTGGCCGGAAATACACTAGCTGGTTCATCCCCCGCAGGCCGACAGCTTCGATCAAGCTTCCCACGACAGAGCAGCTTAGCTGCGACACGATCATTAGACCAACACGCAAACACCCGCAGGACGTTTTCAACAACATCACGAAGCTTCCAAGACCCCGAGTCCAATCGCAACGATGCCGAACTACTCGCGCGCACCGCCGAAATTGAGAAGACGGTTCGAGAGGCGAGGCAGCGATTCCGAGATACACTGCCCAAGGGGTACCTCAGCGAGGAGGAATACACATTATATGAGCGGTGGTATGGGCCGCCTCTGCGGGAGACGTCCCCAGAGGATGTAGGAATACAATACTTGAACGATGAGCATTCTGCAGGCGTTCGACGAGGCAGGTCCGGTAGCCCAACTCTGCTGCGCCAGGTCCAGGGTGACACACTGCAAGAAGTGCAGTACGCCCGCAAGAAGGCGGAAAAAGCGGCGGAAAACAACGACGAGCAGGTATCCGAGACGAGTGATGAGCTTGCTGCTGCTGCTGCCGAGGTCATAGAGCCTGAGCCGACCGAGCAGGCAGCGCCAGAAGGCAGCGACAAATACATCAACATGGTGGCGAGAAACAAGAGGGAGTATGACGCGCTCATGATGCTGCAAAAGGATTTCGAGGCCAACGCCCGCGCCGTGGAGGAAGAAAATAGGGAGATGTTGGAGGAGGACGAAATGCGGGACGAGGAACGGGAGTTCGAAGAGGATGAGGAAGAAGAAGAGGAATTCGACGAGAGCCAGGATGGCATCCAGGATCAAGGGACTTCGAAGCGGGCAGGACGTCTGCACCCATTCTCGAGGGAGGGCCACTTCTCGACAAACCCGAGCACAGTCAGTCTGCCGTATGGCGGATACATTGCACCGGTCACATCAATGCTCGACAGAACAGACATCAAGCACGTCAAGGAGGCTGCTGAGAAGGCATTCGGAGGCCCTGGCCTGCCCCACTCCCCCGCTACCCCGGCGTCTAAGATGGGCATGGAACAACAGGCCATCGGCATGGCTGTCTGGCAGAACAAAATGTCTGACATTGAGGCGGACGCCTTCGTATCTGCCTTCCTACCCCCCGCCTACGCCTCGGCCATGGGGAGCTTGGTCGAGGTTCGCAAACGCCTGGGCACGGAATGGCTGCGCAATCTTTTCAAGAACGGGAGTGGGCCTCGCGTTCTCGACGTTGGCGCTGGTGGTGCTGGTCTTTTGGCCTGGCAGGATGTGTCGCGCGCCGAGTGGGACGCCATGAAGTCTCGCGGAGAGGTCACTGAGAAGAACCCTCCCGGAAAGCAGAGCGTGGTGGTGGGATCGGAAAAGCTGCGGACTCGCGTCACTAAGTTTTTGCAGAACACGACTTTCCTCCCCCGTCTTCCCGACTACCACCACTCAGTCGAGAACGCACACCTTCACCTGGATGCCAATGAAAACCCCCAGCCGAGGAAGATGTTCGATATCATCATCGCATCTCACCTGATGCTTCCCGTCAAGGAAGGCCACAGACGGAAGGCTATTCTCAACAACATCTGGTCACTTCTGAATCCCAACGGCGGTGTCTTGATCTTGCTGGAAAAGGGCCAGCCGCGCGGTTTTGAAGCCGTGGCTGATGTTCGAGAGCGTCTGCTCACTGAGTTCCTCATCCCTCCTGGAGGTGAAAATCTTACCATGAGCGAAGAAAAGAACCCGGCGTTCGAGAGAGAAAAGGTGCCTGGCATGATTATTGCGCCCTGCACAAACCACCGCGGGTGCCCGATGTACCAGGTTCCTGGAAAGAGTACTGGACGTAAGGACTTCTGTCACTTCAACCAGCGCTTCGTGCGTCCGCCGTTCTTGCAAAGAATCATGGGCGCAACACACCGCAACCACGACGATGTGCAATTCAGCTACATCGCTATTCAGCGCGGCGTCGCAGCAAAGGACGGACCGCTCGCCGGCGCAGAAGCCGCCGACCGGGCCTTTGAGGGCTTCGAGACGTCCGAGACGGCACCCGACATGCTCTCTCTGCCCCGCCAGATTCTCCCGCCCATCAAGCGTCGCGGCCACGTCACGCTCGATGTGTGTACGCCCAACGCGCAGATTGAGCGCTGGACGGTGCCGAAGAGCTTTAGCAAGCAGGCATATCACGACGCCCGCAAGGCCAAGTGGGGCGACCTCTGGGCGCTGGGCGCGAAGACGCGCAACCGTCGCAACGTACGTCTGGGCAGGCCTGAGGTGCTCGATGACGGCGGTCTTAGAGCCCAGCGTCAAAAGGCGGCTGCTAGCAAGAAGAAGAAGGTGATTGGTGTCGATATCAACGAGACGGGTGTTATTGGCTCGGATGAGGCCAGAACAACAACTGGGCCGCAGCGCAAGACGAGCAGGAAGGCGGCTCGCCAGCAGCTGTTGAAGAGTCTGGCCAAGGCGGACGAGGAATAATTGTAAGCTTGAGGTGTAATATTAGGTTTGTGTACAAAAAAACGGGCGGGAGAAGTATTGTATCAACACCACGAAAACCGAATAGATCTTGGATGGGCGGGAATGGAGGCATATCACGGTCTGCCTTGCTTTGAGGTACTAAGGCACATAACTCAGAGGATGAGCCAACCACATCATGTTACAATACCACAACTCAATGATTTGACAGCTCTTTTGTAAGGCCAAGCATGCAAAGCGCAATGGTTATCTGATGTCTAAACCAAAAGTGGCGGACATGGTGTTTGACACCGGAGATGCATCGGCGAGCACAGGTCGAAGGAGGGACGGTAAGTTAAGGATCTCCGGCGACGGCTCCGCGGGAGTCGGTCACTAATGCCGCTGATTGGTCACGCCATCGCCCTGGCCCTTCAGCGCGTTTGCGGTGGTCACGGTGCGGGTGGTGCGCCGATAAGGGGATCAGGGCCACTGGGGCGGACGGCTATCGGGATGGTGTCATCGCCAGCGAATGAAAATTTGGCCAACCAACGTTTTTTGCCCGCCGCATGATTGGGTCCCACGGGCCCCCGGCCGTCTTCGGGCTTTGGCAGATTACCTTATTAGTTAGCTTCACTCAAATCTTGGGGGAGGACAATGAGTGAGTAATTCATATCAATGCTTTATTTCTCTATTTGACTTCAGAGTTATGAGAGTTTGTTGATTCTACTACTCGTTCTCGATTCATTTCCCATCCATCTGGTCTCACTTGGACTATTGGTTCTTCGACTACGACCTCTGTCGCATACTCCACTTAGACGACCCTCACTCGACCATCTGGAGAGACGGGGATCGTGTACTTGAACTCGAGAGAAAAAGAACAGTAAGGAGAAGAAGACTCATCGTCTTCACTCGCACAGCCCAAGATGGCGACAACGACATCTCTCCTCACATCACTTAACTGCAAGGGCAACACACATCTCATTATCGGCACAAACCCCCTCGCCGCAGCCCGCTGCACACAAACCATCAACGCTGGCGCAACCCCGATCCTCATCGCCCCAGACACACAAGACCTCCACTACGGCCTCCAGAAGCGCATCGACGCCGGTGAGGTGACATGGCACAGGAAAGCCTTTGCCGACACAGACCTCTTCACTCTAGGTCGCGACGAGGTTGATAATGTCGTTGATGCCGTCTTCGTCACATCTTCTTCCTCCCCGCAAGCAGCTCAGATCTCAGCGCTGTGTAGACGGCATCGTATTCCCATTAACGTAGTCGACGCGCCGCACCTCTGCTCATTCTCACTTCTATCGACACATACCGATGGGCCTCTACAAATCGGTGTCACGACAAACGGGCGCGGCTGCAAGCTCGCCTCCCGCATCCGGCGCGAAGTCGCCGCTGCGCTTCCCCGGGATCTAGGTGCCGCCTGCGCGAGGCTAGGCGATGTACGCCGGCGAATCCAGACTGAAGACCGTCTCGCGGCAGACGAAGTCGACGATTCGTTCGACCAGACCGCATCATTCAACAAGCTCGTCACTGCGGCCGATCTCGATGCGGCGAAGAACCGGCGCATGAGGTGGCTGAGTCAGGTATGCGAGTACTGGCCCCTGAAGCGTCTTGCCGCCATCAACGATGAGGACGTTGAGTCTGTACTGAAGTCGTATTCTGGCTTCGGCAACCCATCAGAGGAGGCGAGACCACCACCGGTCATCGCAGCAGGTGGCGCAGCACGCCCGCAGCAACAAGGGAGAATCATCCTCGCAGGCAGTGGCCCAGGACACCCAGACCTCCTGACCCGTGCAACCCACAAGGCGATCCAGACAGCAGACCTCATCCTCGCAGACAAACTCGTCCCCGCGGGCGTGCTAGATCTCATTCCGCGCCGTACTCCCGTCAAGATTGCGCGCAAGTTCCCAGGCAACGCAGACCAAGCCCAAGAAGAACTCCACGAGCTCGCGCTGGCGGGCGCAAAGGAGGGCAAGACGGTGTTGAGGCTAAAGCAAGGCGATCCCTTCATCTACGGCCGCGGAGGAGAGGAGGTGGCGTATTTCAGAGAGCACGGGTTCGGGGAGCGGGTGACGGTGCTGCCGGGCATCACATCGTCGTTGAGCGCGCCTTTGTTTGCGGGAATTCCGCCTACGCAGAGAGATGTCGCGGATCAGGTCCTTGTGTGTACCGGCACAGGGAAGAAGGGCAAGGCGCCGACGCCGCCAGAGTATATCCCCAGTCGTACGGTTGTGTTTTTGATGGCTTTGCATCGGATTACGGGATTGGTTGGGGAGTTGACGACTCACCTCGACTCGGAAGTTGCTGCGCGCGAAGGGGAGGAGAAGAGCACACCGAAGAGGGCGCTGTGGCCGAGGGATACGCCGTGTGCTGTTATTGAGCGGGCGAGTTGCCCTGATCAGAGGGTGATTCGGACGACGTTGGGGTATGTTGCTGAAGCCATTGAGGCTGAGGGGAGCAGGCCGCCTGGGCTTCTTGTTGTGGGTAGAGCATGTGAGGCGTTGTATGAGCGAGAGAAGGGAAGGGCGTGGGCTGTTGAGGATGGATTCAAGGGATTTGATTTTGAGGAGCTTTCTGGCTTGTCATGATATTTCCCTTTCCGTTTGAAGGTATTTGGAAGGTTCCCAGTTTGCTCCTGAGCCATGACTTCTGCGTCGGTAGTTTCTTGATATCATGGGTTCGTGCGAGTACGGTTAGACAAATACCTTCCGGGAACGAGGCATTGCAAGGCGCACATAAATTTCACAAACGGATTCAATTCAAACTACACCCTTCTAACATTCAAGATTCAACGCAAACAAGACGCGGCTCCCAACTCTTCTCTGTGAAGAAGACCCTGAGAGCTGGTCCTGACGATGTCAATTAATACTGGACTTCGTGAGAACCTCTTGCAAATACAAACCTATCGCCAAACTCCAAACTCTCTGCAAAGTTCCGCCTCAAGCATGAATCTGTCTCAAAGCGAGTTCAAAGAGCTGGCTCAGAAGCCATACTGCAGTGTTGTTAGCAACACTCTGGCGAAGGGACTACCGCGAGACTCGAGGAGTCAAGTAATTACCTGAGACCAGCGTGGCAGCGAAACGAACGATGAAAACATGCGCGAATAGTTTCGGCAGGATGGCTCGCTTTCCCAGATGCTCAAGTGCCACACCGATTCCGTCGTTGACCGCTTCATGCCCAGTATTCCGGTTCTCGCCTAAGGGTAGGGACCGAGGCTCATCTTCCTTGATTCCCTCTTCTACTATTTGAAGATTAGCTTCTGGCTTGCCATTTATCTCATCGAGTAGGTGAAGAAGCCGGGCTTTGTTCTCGAAAGACGACAGCTCAATGGTCTGTCGTGGGCGTACCTTAGGCTAGAACAACAATCTTTCAATGCGGGTACGTCACTGAAATATGTGCTGGATCCATTTCCTAGGCTTTGTTTGTTATCATCGAACTTACAAAGCATCGATTCCATGCGATTTATCTTAATCGTAACTTGTAAGTCGAGATGTAAGGGAAGACCAGCGGTAGATCATCTCAGTCAGATCAGAATACGAGCATTCTGTCGTTTCGTGAAGCTCGCCTAGGCCGTCGATGAAAAGGCAAAAGCGGTAGTTCTGACTTATGTCGCTCCCTCGAAAGAGTCGGTCAAGACCTTGTAAGGCTTGGGATGGCGAAATGTGCATTCGTTCACCAGCCGGCCAAGAGGATGTGTACACCGTCTCCCAGAACGAGGGAAGGTCATGGGGTGTGAGATCAGGATGAGCTGAGAGAACTTCATGGAGCAGCCCGAGATATAAGCCGGAAATAGACCTTTGCCGCTCGCTCCCAGAGTTCCAGAAGAAGAACTTGGCACAAACCAGAGTCTTATCGCCTGCAGATATCCTTGTCAGATTGCTATTCCGTTCAAGCCTTTGAGAAAGGACAACTCACCTGCCCAAGTATCAAGCCCCTTTTGGCTCTCACCATGGTTGATTATCATCTTCATCACAGTCGACTTTCCTGCTCCGAGCTTAGCCGAGAAGTGAAACACCCCGCTGACTGAAGATAGCCACCGCGTAAGCTTCTGTCGGATGTGTCGGCGTTCTTCGCAAGTGGCAAGGCATTTTTATGACGGAATCTGATATGGGCCATGTGAGGTTTCTCTGGCAAGCAGTGGGAAGTCATCCCCGTCAACTCCTGTACAGATCACAAGCGCGTTGTCTTCCGCCAGAGCGGAAGTAGCGTCGACCTTGAGGTTCGTTTCCTTCATCATTTCAGTCCCGCTGTCGGATAAAGCTCATTTGGGCGACCATTCGGGCAGTCGACGTTACACCTTTCCTCAAAATCATCGGCCAATATCCACCGAAACGTCTTTTCATGCGCGTCGCAAATCGTGTCATAGCAGTAGTACATGGTGTCGAATTCAAGTGCTCTGAGAATAGACCTCTGAGCAAGGTGTTTAAGCGAACGTTGGGGTATGAGTAAAAGCTTCTGAATATCGCCTTTGATAGAGTTTCGCAGGCTGCAGACGTCGCTAATAGTTTGTAGACTCTCGATAGAGCCTTTGATCTCTTGCAGCGGAGAAAAGTTGTCTTTTTCGTTTCCTACCAAGATGTTGAGTCTTGAGACGATTCTTTCACTATTCATAAAATTTATCAGAGGTGAATTGTCTATGTGTACATGCAGAAGGAATGACAAACCTTGTGATATACGTGAGTTGAGGACCGGTTTGGCTCTGGCAGGAGTGCAGACTGAATTGTAATCATCTCAAATCACTTTATTATTTCACGCCTTTCAAACGACTTGATTGCATGTATTCCGGAAAACGGCCTTTTGGATCGTATGCCATCAATGAGCGTAAGAATATCCTCACAAACTTTGCAGCAGTCTTTTGCTAATGCGCAGAGGACCTTCTCGCCGTAATTGAGTTCCATGGGATCCGGGGTCTGGAGATTGTTCGCGAAACGACGCATTTGCTCACCAAATCTCTGCAGGTTGGCAGCTTCTACAGTGAAACCTGATGAGGATTTGTAGACTATTCTGGCTTCGTTAAGTGCTTTAAGGCCAAAATCGCCAAAGGCCAAAATGTTTGCCATCAGCCCGATGGCTGTCAGTGGACCCATCCTGTGTCGCGGGTAGCAACTTAAGACACTGCTGTGGTACGATGCAAAGTGAGGATCTTATCCTTGGCGTAACCGTTTTTTGGGAATGACTTCGCAGAAAGGACACTTGTCTGGGCTTATATCTATTAATTGGGCTACGTGTTGATGCCGTCGGATCGAAGCAATGCTTGAATCAACATTGACCAGCAATAATTAATGGCCTGGGCCGGGTTTTCTGGCGTAACCGTAAGCAAGCCAGTACAATGATACATGAAACAGCATCGTCTTTTTCGATGGTGTAATAATTAGACAAAAGAGCCTACGATGTTCAATCGTGTGCCACTTTGTTCGAAAAACAAAAAGAGAAAAAGAAAGAAAGAAAAGTTCCGAGCTCTGGAACGTGCTGCGGATTCCACTCAGAGGTCTTCTCAAACACGGCAGCTGACAATTTACGTCATTTCGGATGTACGACTGGCTTTCTAGCACGATCGAATATCAAGTATCGCATCTCATTTGCGACGTGCACGAACATCCTTTTTATCCACTTCCGCCCAATTCCTGGGCAAGCTTGATGATCTGAGAAATAGTTCACATTATGAGATGCTTCTGATCCTACCTCGTAAGGTACCTTACGGTGTGTTGACTGGCGGTGACCCAGAGCTTAGACAATTCCATCAAGCCTTTCAAGAGCTTCGGGGTTGGCTGGCAGGGCTGGCAATAAGACTTCCCTGCTACTGCATCCTTCCGCTTATTCAATGCGACGTTGCGATTGCGCTGGTGATGTGAGCTGCTCTCTGACTGGCCCAGCAATCATTGAATCGACAAGAAGGCGACCTGCTAGCCTCATCACACCGCGGTAAAAAGGCTTCCGTGCAGTTGATCAGCCTTGATTTAGTGGATCGCGTTCCTCTCAGAGTTTAGTGATGGAGCGTTAGTCTGGCCTAGCTCGAGAATCTAAGCCACCGCAGACCCCTGCACCGTTGGATCGGACATTAAACACTCGGCTGTGTCGGCGGCGTCGACCCCGTCCGCAATCTCGCTGGGAACAGATTAATGTCTCTCTGGCCCCCCCGACTCATCGACCCCGTGTCCGTACGCCAAATCAATTCTTTTCACCCCGTGTCCGTAGCGATGCTGCTTCTTCCATGACCGTTTGGCTAACCACACCGAGGACTCCGAACCGCCTAGCCCCCTTCCCTTCCCTTTCCCCTCCTCCGTGTTGCGCCGCCGCCGCCGCCCCTCCGTCAGCACGTATCCCGTTGTGCGTCTGCGTCATGGAGTCTCGCCAACGCAGTCCAACCCCGCTTTTGAAGACGTGTCGTACATGCGCCCACGCCAAAATCAAGTGCGATCGTTCCCAGGACTCCAACGTCTGCGATAGATGCCTCCGGCTGGGCAAAGATTGCACGTATGCTGTGGCCCGCGGGAGGAAGCCGCCCGGGCCGCGTTCCAGGTAGTTCTCACAAGTTTCCTTGTCCAACGTCGGGTGGGTGCCGCCGAAAACTGACGCGAGAGACGGCGGAAAAGGTCCAACAAGTTGCAGGTTCCGGAGAGGCCGGCCCAACCCGCCCAACCTGTGACCGAAAGTCCTTCCGCCTCTGAAAGCCTTACGCCCGATCAAACCCGGACTCCTCCGCAGCTTGCTGCCTCGTCTGGCAGTTCATCCACTCAACATCCCCGAGCCGGTGATGCCGGTCCAGCCGGTCGTAGCCTTGGCACCGGCGTTCATGACCCATTCGAGGCCGGCCAGCTTTCTATCGACAAAGGCCAGGAGCTCCTTGAGAGGTTTCGTACCAAGTTGACACCTCATTTTCCATTCATCATCATCCCAGCATCAGAAAATGTGAGCTCTTTGAGACAGTCAAGGCCAGCCTTGCTGCTCGGCCTTCTCGCTGTTTCGTCATACGATGATGTCCGCCTGCAGCGAGCACTGGGTCAGATGTTTAACGACCTCATCGCGGTCCGCTTGGTGAAGGGTGATTTTGCCTGCCTTGACGTACTCCAGGGCCTCCTCGTCCATCTCGCCTGGTAATGCGAAACCACACTAACCCTCCATGTCCCTGGCACTAACCTCGTCACAGGGCCCACTTCCAACCAAGGCCGAAGAGATACTCACAGCATCTTCATCTAGCTACGAGCATAGTGTCTGATCTGCGTTTCGATAGGCCAAAGAACCCGAAACGTTGGAACGTTGAGGGCATGAGCACTTCACAAGACTATGTCGACTCTTTAGATGAACGTAGGACCTTTCTTGGGACGTATTATCTCTCATCTTGGTATGTCTGTCAAGTCGACGGTTCCTGCAGGCTGTGATGCTGGGCCCCCAGCTAATCTTCAAACCCTCGTAGCACGAGTATCGTGCTTCAGAAGCTTCGCATAGTTACTCTTTCGAGTTACATCACCGAAACTGCTGAGAAGCTAGCGGAGATCTCTGAGTACCCCACTGATCAGTACCTTCCGTACATCATCAGCCTACAGCGGTTAGCCGAAGACATTGATGACATTGTGAAGAACGAGTCGACATTAGATCCTATGCAGATTCAAGCTGCGGTATCAGAAGCTAAGGAAAGGGTCGACTTGTTCAAGAGCGGGCTGACTTTCGCTCTCGGCGATTGTCGTAAGTTGAATGCCCGTGTTTACAAGCCTGAGTAGACTCCTAACCATTCATCGTAGCAATCTTGGTGCCCCAATTACACACAATCCAGCTCTGCCTGAACCAGCTGTCTCTACCAGAGACACCGTTTGGTCTCAACAACCCGCAAAACGCCCCAATGCAGCGGTTCATCGCAGGTTTATCCGAGAGCATAGTATCGGCCAAATCGCTCGTTAGCGTCCTCCTCCATACACCTCATGGACAAGAGGTCTACTTCCCAAACATAGTCTGGGTAATGCTGCATTGTGGCTTCACTCTAGCCGCACGGCTGGATCTGCTAGCTGCGGATCCCCGGGTAGGGTTCATGGCGGAGCACTTGAGGCAGTTTGCAGACATTGCACACACCATTCGCCAGGTCGTGCTCAGGCTCGACGCTGCAAGCTCACCAGACCTTGATGACAGAGGCGACCGCGACAGTTTCTACCACTTTGCGATTCGTGCAAAACGGGTCGAGAAGTTTTACCTCCATGCTCAGAGTCAGGCTGCTGCTCAGCAACAAGCACAAGCCCAGCAGCAAGAAATTTCGCCCCATAGTATCCATGCCAGCCTACCAACGTCTACTGCAGGGTTTACGGCCATGGGAACACCAAGCTCGGATTTTTCGAATCAAAACGCAAGCCTAGATTACACAGTCGCGTCTTCCATATTCTCGCAGAACATGGTGCCGTCGGCGGGAAATGTCGCGTACCCGGACTTTTCTATGGCCAACACCGCCACACTGGTCTCGAACCCCGATTTCGTCATGGATACCCTCTCTTTCTTACCAGATTCTTTCATTCCTTTCAGAGGCTGGGGCAATGGTATGGGCAACGAACACAGTGGCGGAGCGCAGTTTTAGCGCGATCCTATTGAAAATGCGAGGAAGCGGCAGCAATTTAATGGCTTTGAGTCCACGGTTGTGGCGGGGTCGGACACGGACTCGGAGTCGGATTTTGGACATCCTACCCCTTTTGGCTGTCGGAATTAATGACTGTCGGAGCGAGCAGCATTCTTGCAGGCGGAAGAAAACTAGTGTCAGTCAGTCCACGTGATCTTGAATAGAGGATCGGTGTATCTTCAGTCGTTGCTTCAACAATACTGCCTGAAATCGGTAGGCTAGAGACGTGCTGCGTGCGCGGCCTCCGTGTCCGTAGTCGAGTTGGTAATAGTCTACCTGCTGCAACAAGGACAGCGGACGAGAGGCATTGAAGAATGGTATATAACAAATCTGAAGTCCGCTGTGTAGATGGGGTCGAAATCCATCATCGCCATCTCATACCGAAACAGCTTCGTGCCTCATATAATACGTGCATCATCTACATCATTCCCTCATCATGCGTCAAAACATATTGTCTGTTGCTTCGGCAGTGGCTTCATTGTCTTTTCTTCCGATAACTCTTGCAGGAAACCCAGTTTATCAGCCATGCCCTCTCTTGAAAGCTTACTATCATATGCCGACCATCGACAAGAACGCTGAAGCTGTCAAATCCTTCACCAAAAGCTTTACGGGGTTGTTCGACCAGCTTGTGAAAGCGGGCGGCTCCGAAGACTTTGGTGAGATCGCACCCAACACCACTTCTTTTTCAGTGGTCTTGTTCTCGGGCTCAGATGGGGCAGAAGAGGATCCCGTGTTTTTTGAGTATCATCACGCAGCCCCCGAAGCCCCGCAGAACTCGACACTGGATTCCAACACGGTGTTTCCTCTGGGTACTCTAACCCAACTATTCACCGTCTACGCATGGCTTGTCGAGGTTGGAGACGAGCAATGGGGAAAGCCCATCACAGAGTTTCTGCCAGAGCTCAAGCATGTTTTTACAGGGGAGATGAAAGTTCAGTGGGATAATATCACTGTCGGGTCACTGGCAGGTCAGATGTCTGGGCTGGCGAGAGAATGTGAGTATGCTAAGAATGTCTCAAAGCATACACGTAGACACTAATCGCTTCTTCTTAGCTTACACTTGTGTCTTGAGCAAGTATTGCGGTCACGATGAGTTCATCGACAATTTCGGTAGTCGACCGCCACTTTTCCTACCTGACACTACGCCCATTATCTCAAACGCTGCTTTCCAGCTCCTCGCCCTGGCATTGGAGGCAAACAAAGTTGAAGGTAGTGAAAACACGACATTCGACAGCATTCTCGCGGCTGGTGTTTTTGAACCTCTCAACATGACGAACAGCGGCCTTCTATCATCACTACAGGATGCTAAGGTGTTTGCTCGAGATCTGAACGTTTCAGCTACCGGCGAACCAGCGTATGTATTCCACACTACATCTTTTCTACATCTTAGTCGCTCAAGACTAACTCCTGGCAGCGCACTCTCAATGATTTCCTCCTCCTCGGATCTTGCGCGTGCAGGCCACGCCATGCTAAGCTCTCGTCTCATACCACCAGCCACCACTCGCCGCTGGCTGCAGCCCGTTGCCGACACATCAAACCTTCGCAACGGCGTCGGTAGGCCTTGGGAGATTTATCACGCTGGTCAATATGCGAACAGCTCCGTTCTCGATGTCTTCACCAAGACTGGTCTGATTGGACACTACGCAAGCTACTTTGGCCTAGCCCCTGACTTCAACGCTGGGTTCGCGATCCTCGCGCACGATACTGAAGCAACTCGCGGCCCGGATCTAAATGTTTACGCCGACATCGTCTCTCTGGCGGTTGTAAAGCTCCAAGAGCTCGCCGCTACTGAGGCGACGGCGCGATATGTTGGCACCTTTGAAGGACCTGGGGGCGTTGCCGCTTTCAACACCTCGCGCGACGGGCCTGGGCTGCTTGTCTCGACCTTAACAGCTGGAGAGAATGACCTTCGTGCCCAGATTGCGAATGCTGCAGGCATCAAGTTGGAGGACCTGGACTTCCGTTTGTATCCAAGCAACGTTGGTTCGAATACTCAACACCAGTTTGTGGCGGTTTTCCAGGACAAGAGCGCTCCAGTCGACATGGGCACGCCGACCTGTATTACTTGGCAGGACGTTGACTCTCTGGGGTCAAGTGTGGACGTTCGAGTGGTTTTCACCATTGATGCATCTGGTAAGGCTACCAATGTTACTCTGAACGGTGGTTTCCTGTCATTAGGTAGATCAGCTTGAGACATGTGATGACTTTGTGGATCCTTCCCGTGGCGATTTGTTACTCTTTCGTCTACGCACCAGTCTCCTTCGAATAGTTACATGCTCATTCAGTCCAATCGTATCCATGTCACTGAAATTTGAATTGGCAGCACTTAAAGGAGCAAGGCTGTATGAGTATTGTGATGGCTTCGTACCTACTTGGGTATACCATGGGTATTTACTTAGCTCAATGAACAAAGCATAGGGGCAGGGAGGAATGCTGCGTCTGTGCGGAATTGGGAACCCTCAACTCTTATCGATCCACGTTGTTTCTTGACCTGTCAACTCAGGGGCAGATTTTTGAGTGCTTATCTGTGGTTTTATAGTCTTTGGTGATCGGATCACTGTTCATTCCTGCCAGACTCGGAGGCGACGTAGCGATCATGGCTCTTTGTGTGGCATGCTCCGGTCCGGGGTGGGTCCCGTCAATCTATTCTACCGGCGGACGCTTCCCGAAGTGGAAGGACAGCGCCTTGTTATGCCCCGCATGTGTTTAGCCATAACCTTAACTCCTGGAATGGAAACTGCTTGCTCTGGGGAAGCTGGTCCTGTCATGTGAGGGAAGCCGGGAGCCGACTCATTCACTCATATAAGTACGACGATCGTTTCCTCCTTGGCCAAAGTCATTCTTGACCTATTCACGTTCAAGCTATCTCTACAGTCCTCGGGATCAAGATGCAGTTCACTCAACTCCTCCTCGCTATCGTGTAAGTGTTGCGTCCGTGTGTGTACCTTCCATGTGAGCTCTTCTAACCTCAAACTCAACAACAGCCCGTTCATCGGTGTGTCGCAAGCCATTCTTTGCTCGTGCGATCGCAGTACGACTGCATCAATTACTTGCTGTCCGGATATTCAGAAGTGGAGTACGCTGCGCCTGTTCCAAAACCTTATACATTCAATTAACAGGTGATAGATGGCTATGAATGCGAGCCAGCTGATCGTCAAGCCTACACCGATTGCTGTGCGGACCAATTTTCGACTACGACCTTCTGCAGAGACGGGAGTGTTTAAGCTAGTTGAAGATACAGCCTTTGTCTTATTGATGAATTAATCCACATCAGAAGAATTGACTACTTGAGCGAATCAATTGATATGCCGGTCTTGTCATGAGTGATACTTGCTCTCCAAAGCTTTGTTCCACTATAGATTCCTCACGCATCTTCTTCCCACAAAGCGTAGTCCTCGAAGTAAACGTAATGGATTCGCTCCGCATAATCGACCAAGACAGGGTAACTCTTTATGATCCCTTTGCTATCTGGTGCCCTGTCACCAAGATTATTAGCTTCTTCTCCGGGTATGCAACCGCACTAGATAAGGTGACCTACGCTGCACATCCCAAACCTGATGCAATGAAGCCGAAGACGGTTGCATCCGCCTCAGAAGGACTTTTGCCGCCCAACACCCAGAAAGGTGTCTGAAGATCAGGAGCTGTGAGCCGAGTCTCACTCAAGAGCGCATTAACATGTCCCCAAACATCCCGCCGGAATTCTGCAAGCTCTTCACTAGAGAAACGGCCAGTGCCTTGGCCGTAGAGGGTCCGAGTGACACCACGGTAGGCAAGGAGACCAATGAGATTCTGTATTGGCCACGGGATCGCATTCATTACACCTGATCGCATGGTTTCGTAGTTGTCTTGCCATCTCTCTGCGCTCTGTTATACAAGTGAGTAAGTATTTGTGAGTATTTGTGAGTATATTGGGAATAGCTCAGACAGTCATCTGTACTTACCTGGTAGAAGGCTAGCTTGTCCTCGAGAAGGGCGCGGATGGCAGCGTCTTGGGCTCTGGCGATTGGTGAAAGTGGCTCGTTGAGGTCTGGACAAACATCTTCATCGATGAGTCGTTGGATGATGAGACTGGTGTCACTCAAAGTGATCGGCTGATCTTGATTGGGTTGGGCGATCTCAATGTATGGTATTTTACCACGGGGTGACTTGCTCATTGAACCTTGGTCGATGCGAAACCGAAGCTTAGCGAATCGAAGGCGCGCTTCAAGCTTCGTGACGAAAGGTGACCAGACATAGGAATTGGAAATTGGGAATCCTCGGTACAGCACGAGATGAAGCTGACTTTTGACTGGCGTAGACATGGTGAAAGTGGTGTGATAAGGTAGCTGACAATGTGTTCTGTGAGTCATAGAGAAGTGATGGAATGAGATGTGAGATGAGAATGATCAATCTGGGTGAAAAGAAACACGAGAACATCGCATAGATATACGTATTCTTTCTTTCGACTTTTTTCGATCCTTTATTGCTTGCCCTCCAGAATGAGGCCCAGCTGCCTAATCGGACCCGATTGAGTCGCCGCTGAAGTGCGGCACAGCGGCCGGCCGGACTACGGGGCGGGCCTGCGCCGTTGAGCCGTACTGCGTGCGTGATCATTACCCGCGCGGGTCGGGCACGCTTACGATAGCAAACTATGCCTAGAATGAACTTACGAGTAAAAAAATGACAACTGTCTGACTCTTGGCCGGAATGCCACTAAATTTGATATTTAGATTGCTTGGGAAAAGATCACGCATTTGTCAAGACTACAGGCCGGATGTTCGATCTATCCGCTCAGGGGCGCGCCCGGATGGCGACGAACCTCACACCCCATTCATGCCCGAAGTTCAAAGATCCAAGTGCAAAGCCACGCACACCAAGTGGTAGCAAGACTCGCTCCATGCCCCCGTGCGATTGGGTAATTTGGATGATACATCGTCGAATTGTTGGTCCTCAACAGCCATTTCGCCAGACCGTCTTAAAACAGCTCCTTCAAGATCAATCGTTCACTCATCAAGGATTAGCACTCCAAGATAAGTGTCAGGAGTACATGATTCCAGCCAAATTCGAAACTTCTCTTCCTTCCTAAGATGATGCAATAGGTCCGACTATCACAGATGGCATTCCACAAGTAGATCTGGAGCAATTTCAGTACAATATGCAGCATACACACGTGCTGCTGGATGTTGCAATTTCGCGTGATTGTGGCTTACTGCGATGCGATGCACGATAAACCAGGATACAGACTGAGTGCAAGAAGAATGGCTTGAGTCGCAACGGCCGACAACTAAGCAGCTTGAGACCTATCAGACTGCTTTGGCCATCTCTCTTATTCTTGTCGGCCAGAAATTTTCCATCATGTCAACCCATCGTGCAAATGATGGGCTTGAAGTATCACTCAAACAGCGGAAGAACCAATCATCTTGCTCGCCTGCCTGAATTCTTAGCTTGCTCTGTTCATGGGACTTGTCAGCACCTCTTTCTTCTTTTGACTCTGAGGGGAATGTGAATTATGAATAATGCTGCCAATGCAGAGATCTTACCCAGGAAGATACAGGATCAATGAAGAATTGGAAGACTTGACGTCGCTCATCCGAGTACATAGTCAGTACCGGGTCGACAGGTTTCCCCTCCTTGAGGATCAAGATAAGGGCGTCGCTGAGAGCAACGGATTCCATTAGACAGTTGCTCAGACCCAATCCACCAATAACCTATATCATCAAAATTAGCTCTACTAGACCTGCTCGAATGTTTGTCATGCCTCATCATCTCCTACATTGTTCACGTGTGCGGCGTCGCCAGCTAAGAGACACCTCCCTCGCCTCAGGTTAGAGGCCAGGCGTTGATGAATGGTGTACGTCGCTGCTCTATCGATCTTGTATGTCAAGGGTCGTGGTCCGGCCCAAGCGCGCTCGTAATGGCGTGAAATGTATTCTTCTGAGAGAAGGTCTTTCTCGGTCTTGGTCTTGAGCTCTTCGGGATCAACCGCGAAAGTGAGTCTCCACTTCGTCACCTCGCCTTTCACGGGAGGTGTAAGAGGGGTGATGATGGTGTAATGCACCGGCTCCATCAAAAGGGTTGTCGTGACGGGGCTATCTGCAGTGTTTTTCAACCAGACATCTGTCGCAATGAGCTTCTCAGGCCAAGTGTGTCCAGGAAAGGAGATGCCAAGTAGGGACCTAGTTTTGGATCTGCCTCCATCTGAACCCACAAGAAATGAAGCAAAATGCTCCTCGATTTGCCCGGTATTGAGATCTTTGACTGCTATCGTAACGGTTTCGGATCCGTTGGAGCCGTCGTTGAGGATCGAAACCAGCTCTTTATTGAAGAGGACTTGGACACGTCCTGTCTCAGTCGCCTTTTCCATCAAGACTTTGGTGAGCTCAGGTTGCGCCATGTTAAGCATGCTGATTGCTGGGGGTCTGACTGGCGGGCCACTTGGGTCATGCTTCGGGTCTTTCGGGAATGATCCAACAACCTTTCCAGGTTTCTTTCCGCCTTCTTCATTAGAAGTGGGAGGCAGACAGATGTCAAGGCCAGTACTTCGAAACCCGCCGCCCTTGATGATGGCATCCCAAATGCCGGCTTCTGCCAAAGCGAACTGAGGTTGAGGGTAAAACATACAAGCCCGAGGAAGCTGGGAGAGACCGCTGTCTTTCTCGAGTATGGTAACGCTAACACCTGCTTTGGCCAGACGTAAGGCAGCAAAAAGCCCCACAGGACCTGCGCCGACGACGAGGACATCAGGGTTAAGTGGTAAAGATCCCATAGTGTCGTAGATAGGAGAGGAGGACCAGTATGTGTCGATATAGGTAAATTGATGTAAGATACTAAGAAAGACTCGACTTAAAGGACTAAGGTCATGCACGCACATATTTGGTGTTAGAGGCTTCAACAGTTCTTATAGCCCCGAGTCCAATATAGACGGTCTTCAAGCCCGTATCTTTTTACACTCGTTTAAGATACATGGCCGTGCGATGATGTGAGGGCCAAGGCTGGGTTACGGCTGTTGCGAAATGAGTAATTGCTGAATCCCTCCCTTTAGCAGTGCGATTGTCATGTTCCAGGTTTAGCTAATGGAAAGGGATGCCGACTTACGCAACGAGGGTGCAGCTCTTGCCCAGGCCTCACCGTCATCGCCGAAGTTGCATGTATTCGTCAGCGGACGGCGTGAAGGCCGCTCGGTATCGAAATAAGCCCCGAACTTCTGAAAGAAGAAGTTAGAGGGAGGTCACCCCGGGACGCCGTAGTCTCGGCTGCAGATGGCCGGGGGGTTGAAGCGCCCCGGCCCGCTAGCCCAGCCGTTTAATGATGCAGTCTAAGCAAACTTTATCTGGCCTCACTCGCTTGCTTATCTTGTACACATCCAGTTATCAGCGGTGTCGCCATCCTTGTGTCGCCAGGTAGGTAGGCAGCCAACCTTATTCCAGACCGCCCACATCCCGTAGGCGCATGGGAGTCCTTGGAGTCCTTAGAGTCCAGACTATTTCCCAAGTACCTCTGTGTGTTTACAACAGCCAATGCTGAAGAGGTTTGTTGGATTTATAAGCTGTCTTCGGCAATGCCACGCGGCAGATATATTTCGGTACGATACCAACGCTGCAACTGAGCTGGTGTGACCGGCCAAAAGTTACACGTATGGATGAGTACACCTCATTTCCTATGACGCCGTCCCAAGTCATACGTTTGTTTGACCATATGCCCAATTCAAGGAATAATCAGGTCTCAACATGAGTTAGAATTACAACCTATATATGGTAAAAGACCGAGCGATTTTTCTAGGAATCACGCAAAGAAATTTCGGCCTGCGCAATAGTAAACCTGAATGTAGTGAGCCTGCGATTTGGTGTAAGGTATCACAAGACAAATAGATGTCCTGTCGTAACGGAGGCCTTCAGAACATACTAGGACGAAGTTGGCACAAAGCGAATGCGAAAGGTTAATGTCTCTCAAGTACAACTTCTACTAGCCGGCCAAGAGCCAAGGGACTCAATGATCCATTCCCAAATTAGGTACCTCAAACCCATGAACGGCCGTACAGCAACCAACTACCAACCCCAATGATAGTCCAGCGGAAGAGCGCACCGGTTCCCGAGTCACTGCCGACCCGAAGAACAGACTCCACCAAAGACTTGAGCCCAAAGATTTGCCTTCCATCGCGGTCGAAATCAGGGTTCACGTCGCCCAGCCATTGGGACATTCTCAGCTCTGACTCCAGGTATGGCATGTAGCGAACGCGGAAAATCTTGTCAGCCCAACCAGGGGTCTCGGCGACAGTGCGACGATGCGTGAAGCAGTCAAAGGAAGCTTTGCCGCGGTAAGATCCGTGACCAGAGTATCCCACGCCCCCAAAGGGGAAAGTGTGAACTGCGGCATGCATGAAGGCGTCGTTGAGAGTTGCGCCGCCAGATGTAACACCAGAAAGAACTTTGTTGTAACTCAAGTATTAGCATCAATCACGAGGGGTGTCTATACTATCGGTTCTCATACCTTTCTCGTTTTCAGCCTGGCTACCAAAAGCCATGAGGGCAAGGGGAGTAGAATCGGTCGCATTCGCCACCGCAATCGCATCGTCGATGTTGTCATAGGGTAAAATGGCCCAAATGGGCCCGAATGATTCCTCCTGAACCATAACATCATCCCCGCTCTCCACGAGAACTGCTGTCGGAGCAATGTAAAGATCATCACGGTCTGTTTCTCCACCTAAGACAACTTGACCACGCGAGCTGTCTAGCATCCTCTTCATGCGATCGAAGTGTTGAGTATTGATAATGCGGCAGAAATCGGGGCTTTCTCTCGCGCCTTTCGGGAAGAAGTCGATATAGGATTCTTGGAGAAACTTGATGAAAGGTTTGACCAGGGCTCTCTCAATTAGGACGTAGTTGTGCGAGACACACACTTGCCCGGCATTGAGCGTCTTCCCCCACAGAAGCCTCCTTGCAGCAAGACGGAGATCTGCGTGACTCGTCACGAATGCCGGATTCTTGCCACCGAGCTCCAGACAAACCGGAGTAAGTGTTTCTGCAGCTTTCTTAGAGATGATCTTGGCCACGTTGACTCCACCTGTGTAGAGAATCTTGTTCCACTTCTCATTGAGCAGAGCAGTCGTCTCTGGAATAGCGCCATTGACGATCCTGTACGAGTCAGGATCCAGATAGCCCTCGATGATACGAGTGAGGACCATGGCAGTCGCTGGAGCATTTTCGGAGGGCTTTACAACTGCGGTACAACCTGCAGCTATTGCGCCAATGAGGGGGCAGATATTGAGCTGCACGGGAAAGTTGTAAGTGCCGATGATGAGAACCGTGCCAAGGGGCTCCTTTCT